GGTGCAATGACTCTGTGTACCTGCCAACAGACTCTAAATAAAGATCGGTGCTGACCAATGCGTGGGATGGGGGCAACCCAGGAAGTCAGCGACTCAGCCCAAAGCATCAGGTGCTTAGGAGTGCTGTCTCCAGGGGCCAAACAGGTGGGACCAGCCTCCCTGACCAGTAAAAGGAGGAGAAAATGGAAGCTGAGCTCGTGGTGGGAGGAACTGGGCGTGGGTGGTGGCGGCAGCCCTGAGCAGGGAAGGGTGTGTTTCATGTTTCGGAGGGAGCCTTGTGCCCTACTTGTCTGCTGCACTTTACCAAACCACAAAGCCCTGCTTGGCACTCCCCTGCCAAGGCTGATCCCAATCTGCTATGCTATCAGCATTGTCATCTCTTCCAGAGACACGCAGTTAGTGCTGTGAATTCTGAGACCTCATCTAATCCCGTCTTTTCCCAAAGCCATGTTGTCTGACCATCCGGGCCTGCGGTAGCACGTCCCCACAGGTGCCAACGGTGCCAGCCTGCGTCCCCGTTAACTTCCCTCTCCCTGTGTCCCTTAGCTGCCCCTTTGACCCCAACCCTACCCCAACCCAAACCTTCCACCCATTTTCATCCTTATCTTTCGTAGCTGGGAGATGAATATTCAGAATGACAGAGACCACGGAGGAAGGATCTAAACCTGAGCTTCCCTTTAACCTTGATGGTTGCGTCATTCAACCAGACTGTCACTGTGTACGGTACCTGGACCGACTGGGGACTAAGAGGTGATTGCCTGGTGGAACTGTGAGGACGATGATGGGAAACTGGCATCGGTGTTTCTGGTTTGGAAAAGGGGGATATTCTACTCTTCAGCACCTGCCAACCCAATAGGTTTGCCCAGACTTTTACATTTGCCGAGGATTCTACATTATACAAACACACACCCCTACGTCCACCCTCCTCTCAGACAGACCTAACTTACTGGGTACAGAGACAGCTCTTAGGAAGGAGGACGATATGGCTCATGAACCTTTCCCATTTCCAGAGCATCACCGCCAGATGCCCTGAAACATCTCCCTGACATTGAAGTTTGGGTCCCAAAGTTAAGGCTTGACTTTGACCTACAAGAGTTGTGTTGTTGTTTTTATTACACAAGTTGACTATATAACTTTTGAATATGTAGGTATATTAAAAAAATCCTTGGGAGACTTGTAGGTCTATATACTCTTACAGACCTGGGTGTGGGCTCTGATTTTCGGTTCTTCTTGTCCCTTCCTTTCCTGTTGCCTGCAACGTATAGTCAATGGCTGAGACTTGCCATCGCCATGAGTGTGTCTCGTTGGGGGTTGATCTGTAAAAGTTCCTAGGCCAAACTAGAGGCAGTGACCAAAATTAAGGCATCCCAGTAGGTGTCAGCATGGAAACAGTGACTTGAATCCAAAACATTTTTATACTGAGCTCTGCTGTGTTCGTGAGAGGTGGGGTAGGAGGGAGGAGACCTGTAGACGATGCTCCAGCTCCCATCACTGGGTCATGGAAAGAAGTCAAGAGTTGGCCACAGCTCTCTCACCTAAGTTCAGGGGATCAGCTCATGGAAACTCCTCAGAGAAGAGGAAGGCAGACAACCAGGACTGATTCCACGGGGTTTAAGCAGCACAGTCCATCTCTCTCAGTGGGCGCCCTTGACTCCTGTCTCCGCCCTGCTCACTGGACCCTCCCATCTTCGCATCGCACCACTCAGACGTGCACATGCAAGAGCGGGAACAAAGCGGATCACACCTGCGTGTAGTTTGTCGTGTCAGGCTTATCCTGATTGGTGAAACAGATGACCATGAACCTACGAAACCATCCTGAGTGACCAGGTCTATGAGCCACGATAATATGACAAAGGGGATATGGTTCCTATGACTATGTCACCCTGTGTAAGATTCCCCCTTGCTAGCAAACGCACCAGGAGGCTGGTTGGATGAAGTAAGCAACCCTGTTGGGAAAGTCTACATGCCAAGGGATAGCAAGTAGTCTCTAGTATCTGCTGGTGACCCCTAGGAGCTAAGGAAAGCCTTCAGCCAACAGTCAGCAAGACGCTGGGCCCTAGTCCCATAACTGCAGGGAACTGAATTCTGCCAACCACCTGAGGGCTCGGGGAAGCAGTCTTCCCAGCAGGCCTCTGGATGAGAGCACAGCCCAGACAGCGGCTTGACTGCAGCCTGAGCCTGAGACACCCGAGCAGAGGACCCAGTGAAACCATGTCCAGACTCCCGACCCAGAGGAGCTGAGACAGTGAAGCGTCTTCTCAAGCCACTCAGTTCACGGGAGTTTGTTTTACAACAATAGAGAAGGAGTACTATGACCGTCTCCCACCGAGTCACCAAATACAACCATCATCCACGTGGACAAAATCTACAGATGCGTGAACTATTTATTTAAGACTGGTCTTTTTCTTTTAACTTGCATTATGGGCTTGTTAGTAAATGAAAAAAATTTACTTTAATGTCATTTCATATGTTGAATACAATCAGCGTTTTCATGGAAAAAGCAGAAAGGGAACAGATTCCTATAGAAGAGAAAACATTGACGTCTTAAGTGCTCATCTTAAATCAGTCCATTGTCCTCTCCCATGGGATACCCTCCAGTGTGTGACAGTGACCCAAGTGCATCCAGACCCCTAACCCTAAAGGGCAAAGGTCAGAGAAGGCAGACATCCCAAACACCCTTTCTGAACACCTACAAAGCAGAACCAAACTGTGGCCAAGGGCCTGTCCTCTCTCTGCGTGCTTCCCCGCAAGCTGGCTCCACATTTTCCTGTTTCCCTGACGCATCCTGGACTTCTGGAGGTCGTGGCACCTGCAGCCCATGAAGGGAGAAACTAGCCTGGCCTGACACCCCAGTGCTGGATCCTCGTCAACTCCAAGCAACCAGATCCACCCCCTCTCTGCTAGACAGAGAGAGGGGCCGGTGACAGACACATCCACTTCATGGCTCAGTCTGCCCGAGATCCCACACAATTTCCAGTCTGATCTTTTCATTTGGGGAAGGATCATGGGGTACAGGGGTGCTGAGATACAGACCCCAAGTTCTATCCTGTGCAAAGCATCATATCCTTTTCCCTGGGCCAACACCATCCAGTTGCCCTTCTAGCTCCTCCATCCACCCATGTCTTCCGTGCTTGGGAACAGAGGGCAGGAGCCTAGTGTGCTAAGGAAAGGGGAGAGTCCTGAGGCTGGGCAGTGGCGGTCTCAGTAACAGCTGTCTCTTGGGGACAGATGGTGGCCATGCAGTGCCTCTTTGCTTTGAAGCCACTGGCAGAGCCCGGGCACTGTCCAGAGGATGGGAAATAGAAGGGAAGAGGGAGGAACAGATTCGGGGGTGCTGTTGGCCACAGTGCATTGGCAGCCGGGGACCGGCCTCCCTCCTGCATCCTGCCAGGCTCGGTCCTTCCGGCTGGAGCACAGAGAAGCAGAACTGTGAGCTGTGTCCCTCCTTGGTGGCCACACTGCCGCCCCTTCTCACAGCTGCAGGCCGGGCTGTGTTAGGAAGAGGGCGGGAAAGTGAATTCACTCCGGAGGGCTTGTGCAGCTGGTGAGGAGCCTCGAGACCCCAGCCCTGGGGCAGTTGTTCAAAAGCTGGGGCCAGCGGTGAACCGACCTCAAAGCCAGGGAAGCCGGCGTTGCAGGGGGGCCGGTTCACAGGCGCCCCTTCCAAAGCCCTGTGCCCAATGTCTTGTTTGTACTATTGCACAATTTTTCCCAAAGAGCGCTCCTGAAATCCTACAAACTTCACATCCCTCAACGAGGGCCTTGCAAGGGACCAGCTGGGAGCTACCGGCCACAGACAGGCGGCAGGGCGCCCCGGGGAACCAGGGGTACCTTTGGTGGCATCCGGCTGGCCTTGCCAAGTGGGGTGACAGAGGATATGCGTTGGGTCCCTGCGGCTGGCCCAGGAAGGCGGGTCCCAGGGCGTCCCGGGGGCGCTGCTGGTTGCGTGCAAAGCTGGGGCGCGGCCGCCCGTCCAGCCCCGCCCCGCGCAGGTAAACAGCGCCGCCCGCCCGGCCCGCCCCCGGCGCCACGCCAGGGCCAGGGAGGCCGAGGCCCGCGGCGCCCTCCTCCCTCCCCCACCACTCCCCCCCTCCCCCGGGAACGTGCGCCGGCGCAGGCAGCCTCACCTGGCCTGGGCGCCCCCCGCCCACCAGGCAGTCGGATCGCACCTGCGGGCCTGGCCGGCTGGGCCCAGGGCGGATACCCCGGCGGGGTGGAGGGTGGGAAGCCGACCTGGCCAAGAGGGGAGCTTAAGTGCGAACCGGTGGAACTCTATACACTTAAAAAATCTCTTTGTTACACGCATCATACCTCAGTGCCAAGGAAGGGGGAAAGACCAGCCCCTGGGCCCATGTGCTTCCAGTTTTCACCAAAACATTTATTGGGGGGGGAGGGGGGAGGTGTGGCAGGAGAAAGCTCTGGGCGGGGGGCGGGAGGGAGGTCGATCTCTGCATTCTCAACAAAGCAGGGCCGGCCCCTGGCTATCCCCCCCTTGGCCCCTGGCTATCCCCCCCCCCCTTGGCGGGTAGGACTTCCTGGGCCTCCCCTCCCATGTCAGGCAAGCGGGGAGGAGGGTTGAAGGAGAGGGTTAGAGAGGCGGTCAGTGTCAAGGTCATTCCCATCCGGTGGAGGTAATGCAGTCCTTTGAGGAGTGATGCTCAGGATCTAGGGACAGCCGTGGGGGCCAGGGCAGCCACAGGAAGCTGATTTTGAGATGTGAGCCCGGACCTCTGGCTTCCTTGGATCGAACCCATTTTCAAGCCTGGTTCCCCGGTAGGTCCAGGGGACTCCCCAACAGCCCTCCATTAGGTTCCTTGTCTAAGTACCCGGGCTCTGGATACTGTCTGCAGCCAGAAGGCGAACTCACTTTCTCATCGGACCTCTTTCCTTTGCTCCTACTGGAAGGGAGAACGTCAGGACGAACCTTTTAGTTAGCCCTCACGTGACCCACCCTGGAAAGGCAGCTGAGGCCTCCACACAGCACAGGTCGTCCACGACAGCTTCCCTTTTATTGATATTAATCACAGTTATGAGGTCTCGTCCATCAGAAAGTTGTCATCATGTAGAACTACATACAAAGACATGAAAATACACACACACCAACCACCGGAACAAATCTTCGCAACCACCCAAACCTCTGGATCCGTCTTCGGTTTTGACCACCGGTGCTCCAGCAAACATACATTGGTTGGCCCCGCATAAGGTTGGCCTTTGGGGGTCTTTGGGCATTCACAGAGCAGGGCATTCACCCTTGAAAGCGATCAAGCATGTAAACTCCTGGGCTGCCTGCCATGTCTGCAGGGCCGGCTCGAGGTCCTGCGTGCTCCTCTGACCACGCAGGACGGCAGGACTTAGCTGGCTTTGCAGCAACTAAGTCCTGTCACCCAGGCGGGAGAAGCTACGTGTACGGAGGAACAGACTGGCATCTAGGCTAGTTCAAGTCATTGCTTAGGATCATGTCAGAATGATGACTTGCTGAAAAAATTTACTTAAAAGGGGAAATGTACAAATCTCTCTTTTCCCCACCCATTCTTCTCGTCTCATTCTAAACACTCTGGCCAAATTCCAGCAAAGCCTGCTGCGGTTTATGAATTCCGGGTCAGGTTACAAGTTACCAGATGGCCAGCAGAGAAGGACCCATCGCAGACGCCGAAGGTCTTCCTTCCCTTCACTTCAATTAGCTTACGTGGCTCCGTCCACAGGTAAGTGAAGGGCATGAGTTCTAGCGGTTGGCTGGAGTCCCCAAGTCTCTTAGAAAAATGAAGGCTATAAACTTATCAAAATAAATGTCACGGGACTTGGATACCATGGCAAACCAGTGTGCTCTTGGAATCCATGGAGAACAGAGGTCTCTGGCCAAAGCTAGCCTCTTCTCTGCACAGGGCTCACTGTGTGTTCACAGCTGTCGTAATTCCCTAAATTTCAAAATGTCAATCTTTGCAAGAAAAAGAGAGCGAGAGAGAGACTAGCTGATCCCCCCTTTGCCTGTGCCCCCACCCCATTCAGTGCCTCCCTTGGGGAAACAGAGGAAGGTCGGCCCTCCCGGGCTGACCGGGCCTTGCAGAGTAGCAGAGGTCATGTCCACAATGCTCCAGTTCCAGATCGGGAGGGACAGACGAGAGGTGTCCCGGCCCTTTTCTGAGTCACTAGGCACAGATGTGTAGGAGACGCCTCTCTGGGTAGCTGGCTTCTGCAGGTGACCTTGGGGAGTCGCCGTGGAGTCGATGGAGGGAGACGGAAGGGCAGAGATGAGAATTCCCTGAACTGTAATTCCACTGAAGACAGACTCCACTCAGTGGCCACACACAAACCTGTAGTTCCATTGACACCTTGAAATTCCAAAAATAAAACCAGTATCTCCCTCAAAAGAAAAGTAAGAATTGTCATATAATCACAGTCGATCAGGATAATGAGATGCAAAGGAGAGAAAGTAAAACTGTTTAATGCGAAGACAGAGGTCCGTGGTCCCGTGGAAGCCAGGCACTGCTGTGTCCTCGTCCGCCTCTCCTGGGGCCGGAAGCCCTTTGGCACTAGCCCAGGCCCACGTCCAGTGACATCATCACCACGAACCCCAGGATGGAGGCCCAGGACGCCAGTTTCCCATTCCCACTGGGAGGGAAGAAGAAGAAAAGTGAGACCTCCGTGCGCTGGGGGATCCCGTCCAAGCTGGGAGCGTCCTCAGCCAGGCCCCTTCCAGCCGGAAATACCCTCCCACTATTAACACCAGTAGTGCTGCTGACCACTCATGTTTACTGGGGCTGCACGGCGGCAGGCAAGCTGCTGAACTCGCGTCCTCGCCAGGGACAACCACGTGACCATCACTCCCATTTTCCTGGCAGGGGAGCTGCGGCACGGGGAAGTTAAATGACTTGCCGAAGGTCACCTGTCGGGACTCTGGGATCCCTGCTTCAGTAATACATACACAGCGGCAGCTGAGTTCTTCAAGGTCTTACTTAATGTGAACGTAAACTAGCCTCAAGATCATTCTGTTATAGAAGCCAAAGGAAACACAGAGAGGGAGCCCCAGCCCCTGACACCTGGTCTGAGCTAGACCGTGAGACCCCGGATGTAGAGCTTTGGCTACCAAAGCTCACCCGCTCCTCATTCCGGCCCCAGGAAAATCTAGGGAAGGTGGGAGGGAGGGAGAGGAGGAGGGAGAGGGAAAGGAGGAGGCAGGGAGAGGGAAGGAGAATATTCAAAAGTAGTAGTTTGTTTTGGGGGGCAGGTGGGGATGCTTCATAGTATGTGGTGTGCCCCTCCCCCCGCCCATACTGCTCTCTTCTAGTCCCTGGGAGCACAGCTGCAGAGGGGCTGAGGATGATCTTGGGACGGGGTGGGGAGGGAGGGAGGGGGTAAAGAAGGGAGTGGCTGGGGCCTCCCACTGGGACAGGGACAGATGGGGGCGGGGAAGCTCTCCCACCTGATCTGAGCTTCGGGGATGATGTCGTCCATGACCACGTAGACCATGGCGCCAGCAGCGAAGGCCAGAGCGTAGGGCAGGATGGGCTCGGCCAGAACCACAGCAAAGGCCCCGAAGAGCCCGGCCAGGGGCTCCACCATGCCGCTCAGCTGCCCGTACCTAAGGGGAGAACGGAGGCACGTGCCAGTGTGGGGAGCCCGGCGGACCGCGGACCCGACTCCGGGACACCATGCCTCATCCGCGTCCGACCTGAGCCGGCGGGCTGCAGCGTTCCACCGTCGCTCAGCACCCGTGCCTTCCCCACAACCTCTTACAGCTCAGCTGCACCCCCCCCCCCCGCGGGATTTTTAAAGTTGTAATCTCCTACATTGCTTTTCTAACATAACAGCATTACTGGACCCAGTGCTCGTGACACCTGCGTGCAGTCCAGCGGTTTGCAGTCTGTTCACAGGCTGTGCAATCAGCACTGCTATCTGATCCAGAACGTGTTCATCACCCCAGAAAGAAACCCCATACCCATCAGCAGCCACGCCCCATTCCTCCCCGCCCCCCCCCAGCCCCCGGCAACCACCAATCTACTCTCCATCTATACAGATGTGCCCACGCCAGCCGCTCCTACGGATGGGATCTCACACAATACGTGGTCCTTCTCCTGGACGTATTTCACGCCCGTAATGTCCCCCAGGGGCACCCACGCGGGGTCAGCACGAGTCCGTCTATGACTGGTTAACTCCGCTTCGTGTGGGTGCTGCACGGTATACGTCCATCCATCACCTACGTCTACGTTGTCATTTGAGGGACAGGACCCTGATTCCAAGCGGCAGGGGTATTTCCCAAGGACGGGTGTGCCTGGCACGTCTAGGGGTGTAGGCTGCAACGGCACCCCTCCGAAGGGAGCTATACCCGCCCAGCGCTGCGGCAGAGGTGGCCTGCCTGGCCTGTCGTATCCGGGGCCTGTCCCCACGACCCCCATCTTTGATTAAGGTGACAGTCTCCTTTTCAGAAAGTCCCTTTATTTGCCCCAGGGAGAGTGGGTCTCTGTTGCTTAAAACCAAACGAGTCCCGACTGAAGCGGCAGTCACGGGGCGCAGAGCATTCGGGGAGGAAATAACCTGGGCTCCCCAGTTGAGATCCGCTGGCAAGAGACACCTGCGGCAGGCCGGACGCTGAGAGACAAGGGGCGGGGACATCTCTCCCACCGTCCCTCGCTGTGGCATTCGGGAACATACTGTATGATCTCAGAACACACATCTGAGCCTCAGTCCTTCCGTCTGTGAAATGGGAGTGAGAGGTCCTCCCGCCCAGCCTGCTAGGTGACGGCCCGCACGGGGAAACCTCTAAGGGGGCCATGACCGTACGTTTCTTTCGTGTACGTAACTCCTGGCGTGGCTTTGTCATTTGGGAAAAGGGGGGCTTGACGTCAAGCCCAGACTGGAGTGAGAATTTTTTAAGAGCTAAATCTCGGTCTGGATGCTGACCACGAAGCCCATTCACTGTGAGATGACATGAGTCTTGGGCTCAGGGTACCCGCAGTTACCTCTGTGGTCATCTTGCCCTGCCCTCACCCAGACCCTCCCTCCCGTTGCCTCCAACACCGGAGAAGGGGATCAGAGGGGGAAAGACATCAGCTTCAGTATGCGTAAGGAGTGGCAGGCCCGCAGGCCGTGCAGAATGGAAGGCGTTTCTAGTGCTGCTGTTGGCTGTCAGTCCTTCTCAACGCTCTTACCGTACCTTCTAGAACAGAGGTTGTTTGCACCAAGAGGTGGCCGGGGCTGAGGCCTGAGCTGAGGGGTATATCAGACCTCCAGTCTCGGAGTCACCAGTGGTGAGCGGGGTGACTGGAGCTGGTCACCTACACTCGGGGCCCCGGTTTCCTCCCCGAACACTGGGGACTCACCTCACATGTCACCGAAAAGGTAAAATTAAGGAACAGACGAGAAAGCTCTCTGGGGACTATGAAAACACTGGGCATCACCTCCCTGGACACTATTGACAAAGGTTCTGATAGACGCTGCAAGGATGGCTCTCGGGGACCAAGGCCGTGGAGACATGAGCCCCGGTGAAGCCATGAGACATTAACGTGGACACGGGGTCCACCTCAGCTCTTCCCCCAGGGGAGAGAACCGGCACTGAATGAATGGGCGTGGCGTGGCCATCCACGGAGGGGTCTGCACAGGGAAGGTGGCCATTCGGGCTGGTTTAGGTAAAGGCTGAAGGTCAAGAGATGAGTGTCTTGAGGTTTCTCCCAGCCCTGGAGGTGCAGGACTCAGCCAGGCTGCTGGCGTCTCACCAGAAGCTTCCCGGCCAGAAGCCGGCACGGAGGACAGCCCTGACTTCACACCGGCCCTGACCTGGCCCGACGGTGGCGCCCGGAGCACTTACCAGAACGCTCTCCAGGTGGAGAAGCCCGCCCCTCGCAAGGGAAGGCTGACGGCGAGGCCCTCTGGGAAGTTCTGGACCCCAATTCCAATGGCTAAGTTCCTGAAAGACCAAGAAGACACATGAAGGCGGTGGGCCAGACCCGAGCCGCCCAGACAGGAGCCCCAGCCTCGGCCCCCTGCACCCTGCGGTGTTGGAGATCCAGGTGAGATGGGGCAGGGGAGGAAGGAGGACTCAGGAGCCGCAAAGGGCCCTGCATCGTGGTCTGCTGGCCTCTCCCAGGGGTGCCTACGTTATCTCAGGCAGCTAGCTCTCCCCTTTCGCTCTTGACAGGAGAGGCTCAGACGAGCTCTGACCCTGTCCCCTGACCCACGGGGCACCACACGGGGAAAGAGCGTACGTATTTTAGACTTTGAGGGCCACTACTCAACTCTGTCATTGTAGTGGAAGAGCAGCCAATAGGTAAGCAAATGAGTGTGGCTGTGTTCCAATAAAACTTTATTTACAAAGTCAAGTGATGGGCCGGATTTGACCCAGAGGCTGTCGTTTGCCGATCTCTGCCCTAGTATCTCAGCGGCTGCAGAAAGACCTGACCAGATGGAACCAAAGACCCAATGAGGGTCTTCCAATGAGCAAGGCGGTCAAAGGGTCTGACCGGATGTGGAAACAGCACTTGGTGACTGGCTTGCGGTCCACTGCGGTCACCTGCCCTCACGTTCACAGGCAAGAGCATGGCTTATCCCCAACCTGACCACAGAGAGTTGCCAGCCTAATGTCACCAGCAAGTCAAGGTGGGGCTCCCCGTCCAAAGTCCTCGCCAGGACGCGGCGCTGACTGCACCATCCGCCAGGCGGGCTGTGGGAGCCTCCTCCACATCCTGTCCAGGAGCCACCATCCCGATAAGCAGCACAGAAACTCCATTCTTCTATCCCTGGCAAGCCAGGGTGCCCTGCCCTGCCCCAGCACTGGCATGGGGCTCCCAGCCCAACCGGGTGCCCCACCCCTTGGGATCCTGCCAGGGACTCTGGGTGCCACCTCGCTGGGTGACCATGGAATCTCTCCTGAGGGCTCCTGCGCTCCTTCACCCCACACACAGCAAGGGCTGGACCACAGCGTCTCTGACCTTTCCCCTTCATGTGTGTCCCTTAACTTGGCTTTCCTCTACACACACACATACGCACGCGCACACATGCACGCACATGCATGCTCACACACGCGCGCACACTCACGCACATGCACACTCACATGTATGCACACATATATGCACACTCGCATGCACGCCCATGCATGCACATGCATGCTCACACATGTGCGCGCGCACTCACGCACACGTGCACGCACGCACATGCACACTCACATGCATGCACACATACATGCACACTCACACGCACGCACACGTGCACATGCATGCACTGGCCCACCCTGGTCCCTTGCTCCGCCCTATGCTGTGCATCTGCGGGGATGACCCAGTGGAAGGGCTCAGGCCTCAGCCCTCTGTGCCCCTGCCACCGGCATCAGCTCCAGACAGTGAATTAAACCCCGAGCTCTCAGCCCTGGCTGCTCCAGGCACCGGGGACCCAAGTGCCATCAAGGGGACGAGGACGAGGGTGGTGGCTGCACTCAGGAGCCCCTCCCCTGCCATCCTGACACCCAGCTGAGGAGCACGGCAGGGTGGCCCAGCTGGGAGCCGAGGACATCGGCGGCCGCTCGGGAGTGCGTCAGGTGGCCTGTGGACTGGGTGCTTTCTGGGCACAAAACCCGATTTGGGGAGGCCTCGGGGGGACCCTTGCAGACAAAGCGCAGAGCATCACAACAGAGGGTCATCGGGGGAGACAGGACGCATCAACAACAGTGATGGGGACGACGGCCACCGCGTGTCCAGGGGCAAGGACAGAGTTGGCAGGGCTGGTCCCTCGGCAGTGGAAGCTCAGAGCAGACTTAGAAGCGGTGGCACCCAGGTGGCAAGCAGGGATGGGACAGGGTGACAAGCTCACACCCTCCCGCAGCCCTGCTGTGCTGGCCCTGTGGCCTCCCCACGGAGGGACCCCCTGGAGCAGCGGGGCCTTGGCGGGGCCCCACAGAGGGCCACCGCCCGATGGTTAACTTCGGGGAGGAAAGGCCCAAACGAGAGGCTGCGAGCGTACAAAGCAGGACCCCCGAGCGCTTCGGGGAGACAGAGGAGCCGCTGCCCCCTGCCCTGCTCTTCCGCCGGGGCACAGACACCGGCACCAGGCTGCGCCTCGGCAAACCAGCGGGAAGGGACGGGCCTGGGAATGAAGGGCTCTTTGAGGATGGAAACCACAGGCTGTCCCCTGACAGCGTCCCTGCCCTTCGGGGCGTGGTCAAACCAAGCCCCAGGGTGACCTGTGGCCCAGGCCCGACTGGCAGTAACAAGGGAGGGGATGCTGTGGAAAGGGGCAGGAAAGGGGCAGGGGTGGGAGAGGGAGGGTGGGGACCACTGCAGGGCAGGGAGCCACTGCAGGGCTGCGGGGCAGAGGGCGCCTGGCAGCTGGCCGGCACCCCCAGGGACAAGGCAGCCCTGGGAGGCCTCTCTTGGGAAGGTGAGCCTGGGGACTGTCCGGGAGGGTGTCCTCTGGGCTGGAGCCGGAGTTAGCTTAGAGCGTTCAGATTTCTCTTCTTTCCCGTTGGGATCTGAATTTGCTAGGAGGGGTGGCCCGGCCTGTGTTAGGGGGAAATAGGGCTGTTTTTAAGTTCATTTCCTAGGACTCTGATTTTTTTTTTTTTTAATGCCACGTTGCAAGAGGAAATGGCCTGAACGCCCCTCTGCTTCCCTGCCGCGGGGAGGTGAGCGGTCACGGCTCCCCTCACCTCCAGCTCTCTCGTTAGCAGTTAGGCAAGTACGTTACGGGTCACTGGTCCCGGCATGCTGCTGGGGTTCTGGGATGGGAACTGGGGCACCCAACTGCCCAGGCTTCCTGGGACACCAGACATTCGTGCTGAAACCCAGAGCATCCCGGGCTGCCTGTTGACTTGGAAGCACCCAGACACCCGGCTGGTGGCAGAGGCAACTGGCTCAGAACCCTAATTTGCCACCGAGACGCTCACACGATCCTGGACGCTGAGCAGATGCTTTCTAAGAAGGTCCTATCCGATGCGTCTGATGACGCAATGCAAGTTCCCAGCGCCCCTGGACCCCACAGGCGTCTCGCTCCAGCCCGCCCCAGCCCGTGGGCGCCAGGCTTGTCTGTGGGCCCTGGTCTCCAGCCCTGGGCTGGTCGGGCCCCGCAGTGACAGCAGCACACAGACACCTCGCGCTCTGTCTGGGGCAGGACACAAAGGGGCACTTCAGGCTGCTCAGGGCCAGGAGGCAGCAGGAAACCCCCAGGGGTGCGGGGACCTGGGAGGGGGAGGAGGACACACTGGGCTCACTCACAAACACGGACCCCCAGCAGATGTAGGGGCCGGGCTCATGACCATGACGCGCCGCGGCGGTGAGGCAGGAAAACGGTGCCCTCCTCCAGTCTGGGCGCAGAGGCAGAAGCAAAGAGCCCGAGGCTGCTTTTCCAGGCGCCTCTCAGGGGCAGGGCTGGCCCTCCAGGCTGCTGGTTAGGGGTCCCAACGGGGGCCACCAGGAAGAAGGCCATCCCAGTGGGCCGATGCCCCTGCTTTTCCTTAGAGGCCTGACCCATTGGGGGGCTGCCTTCTGATCATCCTCCCCCCGCTGGGCCGCCAGACTCAGTCAGAGAACCCTCCCTCGGCTTGGCTAGAGGTCCCTTGTTCAACGCCTGCACTGCTAAGGCAGAAACAAAGCTGCAGAAGTCACTGACTTTGGAGACAACATGGGTCAGCCAGCCAGACCCAGCACAACCCACAGGAAACCCAGCCTTCAGTTCTGTGAAATGGGTATAAAATGCCCCCCATCTCCAGGGTTCTTTGGTGGACCGGGAACAAGCGGTGAAGCGCCCCCAGCTCACAGACCAGAGCGGCTCCTGAGCTCCTGTGAAAAGTGCCCGAGCTTCCTGAAGGGGGCAGTGCTGAGACGGCCCCCCAGCACGCGGTTCCCCACCGCCCGGCGACCCTCCCCACCGCACACACATTTCTGCTCCTCGACCTTCTGGATTCTGTGGCTTCCTGCTCGGAACCAGGACCAGAACAGTCACCGAGGCCAGCTGGGGTCACTCCCAGGAGGGACCCCAGAATCCACCACTCAGCCCTGCCCCATGCGAGAGCTCAGGCCGCACAGGAAGATGCGGGGAGGGCCCTTCCCAGCAAGGGATTCACGTCTGATAGACAGCTGCACAGGACAGCCCCGGCCCAGGAACAGCAGGAGGGGAGCGGGGATAATGGTCCCGGCAGAGAGACGGCTGCACAGGACAGCCCCGGCCGAGGGACGGCAGGAGGGGAGCAGGGATAATGGTCCTGGCAGAGAGACGGCTGAACAGGACAGCCCTGGCTGAGGGACGGCAGGAGGGGAGCGGGGAGAACGGTCCCGGCAGAGACATGATCAGGAAAGGACCTGACATTCGAGATGGGCTCCGAAGGATGGGGATCGTTTCCATCGCTCGCGAGAGACGGGGGTGCATTCCCCACAGAAGGAACGGCAGCAGGGCGATCCAGGTCTGCCTTTCTGCCCCCTTCCCCGATTAAAACAATTTTTTCTTTATTGATATTAGAGAGAGAAGAAGGGAGGAGAGAGAGAGAAACATGGATGAGAGAGAACATCGATTGGCCGCCTCCTGCATGCCCCGCTCTGGGGATCGGGCCCACAACCTGGGCATGTGCCCTGACTGGGAATAGAACCGGGACCTCTTGGTACGTGGGTCGACACTCAACCACTGAGCCACACCGCCTGGCCGCCTTCCCCAATTTAAAGCCAACACATTAACACAAATAAAAAATGCACTGGAGTCAAACTCGTCTCTCCTAGACATTGTCTTCTAAGAGTCCTCCCCGAGGGCGGCTGGGTCCTGAGAACCTGACCGAGTGCTCACAGTCCCAGCCCACCCCAGGGGTCTTCCCAAGGCCAAGTGTGGGTTCCATCCCAGGAATCACCACCCCGTCTTTGGAGGCAGACCCCTGTGCTGAACGAGGCACTTGGAGGGGTTTCCTTGAAATCCACTTATTAGCCGTCTCAACTCAAC